AAGCAAGCCAAAGACAGGGCACCTGTCAGTGAGAGGAATCAGGGGCCAGGAAGAGGCACAAGAACAGAAAGGATAAGACCAAAGGAGGATGCAAGCACAAAGTTCAGGACCCCTGATACCAAGGCCATGTGGTACAGCTGCCTCTGACCCTGCTCTGCACCTGGGCAGAATCCATCCTTGCATTGAATGTTTGGGAAATACGAAGGTTGAGACAACAGAGAATGGTCAATAAGGGAGAGGTGAACCTTAGTGGAAAACCCAAGGAAATTCCTGGCCATTGTAGAACCCAACGTCACACAGGCTTGTAGACAGGTATTCTCCTTACCTCCCGGGTCTCCTGAAGATAGAATGGGGTTTTCCTTTCTCTGATTCTAGCAGAACATGGGAAATGCCCACCTATCACCTATTATGAGCTATGCTAAGCAAGTAAGGAAAGGGTTTTGACATCTATAATAACAAACAACCATCCTATGTCCAAAATCCTAGGCGGCCAGAACTGAGAGTTACAAACCCAAAACAAGTTGGGGCCAGACAACCTCCTGGGGAACAGGTAAATTCATTTCCCTAGAATATGAAGGAAAGTCAAGGCTTAGTTAGTAGTGATAGCAAATGGTTATTGTTCTAAAGAAAATTGCATGAATTATACCCAAAGGACCACGTTCTTTTACATGTTGTTCCTTAGTGCACTCCCGTGTTTACTCCTGTGTTTACTCTTCTCACATAGTGACTGATTATCTCAATTGTTTTGTTATTTTGCCCCAGAGTCTTCTGCCTTTACTCTCTGGCATCATATTAAAGGATGGCAATGAGCAGTCCCAGCCCTGGGACGCCTCAGAACCACCTGCAGAGCTCTTCAAAGATAATAGCGTTCAGCCCTCTCTGCAGCAATTCTCTTTCAGCTGACTAGGGAGAGGGCTGGAAAGGAGAATGTGGACGCTATGCTTTCTAAGTGCTCCCAGATGATTCCAATGTCCATCAGGGTTGAGAACCAATTGCTCTCTGGTCCAGAGTCCTAAGCACTTTGTGGTAGCCACTGGAATGCCGACAAAGCATCAAGAAGAAATAAGCAGCCAAAATCTACTTTATAAATTCAATCTATCACTTAGATTTTCCAAACATCAGTCATTTTTGTACTTGTATAACCATTTGCACCATTTCCACATACCTCTTACACTATGATTTCTTTGGTATTGTTTTCAATTAACTTTATTTTTACTTAAATTTATTTTTTAAAGAAACTAGTGGAGACTGGGGGTTATGGCACAATGACATAAAAAGTCAACAATGAAAGAAGAAGAGATGGTGGCTCTGGAAAGGAAAAGGCATTCAAAGTCAGAGGGCAGGGTGGGGAGAGGATGTGGGCTCGGTGAAGGGTAGAAGTCTGGAGATGGGCTGGAGAATCATAGAGGAACCCCAGGGAATGGGGGTGCAGGCAGCAGGTAGCATGAGGCTAGGCCTTGAAAGGAACAGCAGGGACAGAAAGAACAGGTCTGAGCGGCAGGAACTGAGGAAACAGGCCAGCCCAAGAGGGCCTGCACTGGATGGAGTGAGGGCAAGGGTGACAGCCCAGCAGAAGGTGGCACTGGGCAAAATAAACTGTCCTCCAGACTGTACCAGGCAATGAGCAGCAAGAGGAGCTCAAGCAACATCTATAAATCACCTCAAATCATCTCATGGGCTACAGTGGTGGGTGTTCCTGCTCCAGGGAAACACTGTCTGAGGTTCTATGAATAAAGAGTATCAGTCTTTCACTCTTCTCCCTTCGCTACAAGAAAAAAAAAAAACTTTATACAAACACAGGAATGCAAACCCCACCTTACTTGTCAGGTCCCCATGGATACACAGCTCAACAACAACTACAGGCAGCGTTACTTCTGTTTCCTAGCTGTGTGAGCTCTTTACTTTTGAGGGACAGTCCCCATGATGGCAAGCATCTCCTTAGTCAATGCCTGTGAGCAGAGACCACAGTCGGTGGAGTTGACAAATGCCCAGTGAGACACACGATAGAAACAGCATCTGTTATTAATGAGAATAAATCATCAAAATACAATATCTGAGCAAGCTGGCAGTTCATTATCATGTAAATCCTTGCATTATAGCTTAGCAGAGTCCTAGAGAACAATACCTTTTATTTTTTAAAATCCTTACCCTTAACTGAACAATGATGGGGCGGTGAAAGATGGGTCTTTCACAAACCATCAGCAGGCACACACTGTTACTTTTTGGTAAAGTTTATTGCTGCTCCGTGATGTACGCTAATGTTTCCTCCCTTTTCCTAGGTGTGTCAAGTCTCAGATTCATTTATCCTCCCCTCGCAGCCAACTGGATGACTCAGGTTGGCACACAGCTCAGTCGATTATTTCAATTTCCTGGGCTAAACTCATCATTGCCCATCTCTTCTCGTCTCCTATTTCCTCCTCACTTTCTTGAGGTCTGTTTCTTTCAAGATGACGTAAGCACGACCATGATGAGCGCAACATGATGTAAAATCCTAAAACAGATGAAGGGAGCTAATTCTGTTCCCCTAGAGATCTAAGAGAAATTTGTTCAATGCTCCAAAAGGCAGGCTCGTCATTCACGCGTTCATTTGTTCAACAAGTATTTACCGAGCATTTCCCCTGAGCAGGCGCAGGCTGTGAAGCATGCCACTCTCTAGCTCACCTTAGTTACGAACGTTGCTATATCCAAAACTCCAGTTTGACTTTAATGGGAGTAGGCACCTTGGACGTGTCCGATACCGATACCCATGAACTAGAACACCCAACCCCCGAAGACTGGAAATCAGAGGCCCTGAAGTCAGGAGCTGCTAGCCTAAAGCCTCACATTAAGGAAAACTCTATAGACACTGTATAAAAGACCATAAACCTTGAAATTAAATTACAGCCACACATGGTGACCAAACACACAGTTCTGGCAAGCAGGAAGATGGGTTAATCTACCAATCCATAAACGCACCAGGCAGGACACTTTTACATGGACTAACATAATACACTCCCCCCAATTCTATCATGTAACTATTATTAATATTCCCATTTTTTAGACTAATAAATCAAGGGTGGATCACTTACTCAAAGGCTTCTAGAGAGTAACAGAGCCAGCCAGAACTTGAACCAAATTTGCAATTCATAGATTCAAGGGTTAGGGTTAGGGTTAGGGTTAGGGTTAGTTATGATTATAACTTATACATTACCATCTCATTCCTTCTTAAAATTAGCATCATATTCTAGTTTGGATCATTTCAATATAAATTGTCTGTAAGCCTCTAACAATTCTTAGTTGGACCTTTCTCAGCTCCTGGTTATCACAAACCACCTGTTCCTTTCTTTTCCAGGATGTTTGTAGGAGAGTAAGAATTAACTATCTTAATAATGGACACTAATGGGGCTGGGGCTGAGGCTCAGTGGTAGAGCGCCTGCTGTGCACCTGTGAGGCACTGGGTTCAATCCTCAGCACCACATAAAAATAAATAAAGATATATGTCCAACTACAACTAAAAAAAAATTTAAATAATAATAATAATAATAGACACTAACATTTAAAGGGTACTTTGCTCATGCCAGGCACTAGGACAAGTGTTCACTCACAGCCTCTAACTTGACCCCTATAGCAACCCCTCTAGGTTGGACTACTATTGTCCTCATCATCATTTCTTCTTACAAATGAAGGAAAGGAGGCACAGAGAGGCTAAGTTACTTGCCAGAGGTCACAAAGATAAAGGAGTAGTCTTCTTCCCTTTCCTCGATCTATGATATCCACCACTATGAATTTGTGGCTCTCTTCTTAACATCCTCACCTCACCCCAGGTCTGGGCTCTCTCGGGTCTATTTCCCAATACTAGTGAAAGACTGCTTTCTGCATGTGCTGGTTTGGTTTCCTCCATCTTTGATTTCTCCCCGATAAAGAGCCTGGTTCTCCTTCTCTGGGAAGCTCTCTGCTTCCACCTGGCATTGACCTCCTGCACACCTAAGACTGTCTTTGATGGAGATTAACATTCCTTGGGGTATGCAGTGGAGCTTTCCCAAGGCCATCTTTTCCATCAGGGGTTTAGTCTCATTATTACCAAAACTTCTTAAAGGAGCCAGAGCTCTTAAAAATAACATTAAACATTTTTTAAAAATCAATTACTAAACAAAGTTCACAGTGCCTTTTCCTTAACATAGATTTCTGGATTTGTGTGACATTTCCAGATTTTGAGCTCATTAATAATTAACAGTGAAATACATTAAGGTCAGATTAACTCCGAGGAATAAAGCTGACTCTCTTCTTTTCACTAACCAGGAATTCTGTATCTCTCTATAGATAACCTACACAGGCAGCTGTCCTCGGGACAGGTGCTGTAGTTCCGTGCTGTTGAGGAACATGGAATTTACTGAGCACCTACTATGCATACTAGCTATGATGCTATGCATTTTGTAAGCATGAATCTAATAATAACTCCACAACAACCACAGCAGGCAGATCCTGCCATGCCCATTTTACAGATGGGGAAACAAACTCAGAAAGGTCACACAAATCAGCCCAAGGTCACAGAGCTGGTCAGTGGCACAGCTGAGGTTTAGGAGGATACTGGCTTGCTCCCAGCTTCCTGCCACAGGTGCCATTCTTCCTTCACAGCTTCTCAGAGGCTCCACAGAGGGCCTGACGAGACAGGGTTTAACTTGTCTTTGACTAAGGTACTGCACCCAATGAGAAGTCCAGCAGAAAAAGTGATCCTATTATATAGCTGCTCCCCAAGTGACTCTGTGGTCCCCGGTTTCCCCCTGGGTCACACCTGTCCCCACAAACACAGCCTTCCTTGACTTTCCACGGGTTTGGTACTTGCAGCGGCTCCATGGCTTCTTCTTTTTGTTCCCACCCCCTTCTTTGCAATCTTCCTCTGTGTCTCTATATCTTAGTCTCAGTCTCTCTCTCTCTCTCTCTCTCTCTCTCTCACACACACACACACACAAACACACACACACTCACACTCTCACACATGAGCACACACACAGTCAGGATACCTCGATCCAGCAGCCGGAGCAAGCGGAGATACCAGAGATACCACTGGTCCCAGAAGCGGTCCGTCATCCCACCCTGAACTCATCCTTCACAGCCAGTCCCCTGGGCAGAGCCTCATCCCACCACCACAGACTCGAGGAGGCCGGAATCGCTGGATGCTGGGCTCACACGCAGCCTGCTCTAAGCAACTGCCTGCTTGCAACGACAGCCACCAGTCCTCCCACACAGAGGCTGACTGTGCCGGGAGCCTGTTTCACAGCAACAAAGGAACAAGTGCAGAACAACGCCCTGTGCAGACCGAGCCTGCATGGACCCAAGGGGAGGTCGGAGATGCGGGGGAGGGAGTCAGGCAGGGCTTTTGCAAAGAAGTGATGTTTGAGGTGGTCTTGGGAATGAAAATCCACAGTCAAGGCCAAATCTTAAATTTCATTCCAGTATCTCCCGCCATCCTGGCTTCCCCTGCCTCCCACACAGAGGCCACTGACTCTTCCAACTGGACCAAGAATTTGGGAAGCCAGACACTTGGCCATCCAGATTCCAGAGCCAGTCCGCAGGCTGGGAGCCCAACTGCCTCATTTTGGGATCCTGAGGTACTTCTTGCCCAAGACTGCGAGTCCCCCATGCCCAGAAAAAGGCTGCAGACCCTTTCTTCCTATACCCCTTCATGAATCCAACGAGAGGAGAGACAGCTTGGGCTCTGAGGCCCCAAAGCCATGGGTTCTGATCCTGATTACCACTTACTACCAGCGCCAGCTTCCTCCTCTGAGGAGTTATACAGCGTTTCTGGCTGAGCACCTGGTAGTCTGTGGCAGAAGAAGGTTCTCCGGCCTTCCCACCCTTTCTCTCATGCCAGAACTTCAGCTCCCCACACTTAACCCTGGGTTCCCCTTCCCGGGCCTGTACCTGCACTTTCTGCCAGTGCACTCCATCCCCAGTCCTCCTTCTCACAATGGCCAACTCCTCCTAATTTTACAATATCCAGCTCAGATGCCATGAAACGGCAGCCTTCCCTGATCCCCCCTCCAAACCTCATCATTTCACTTCACTTTCTCCTTGGCATGACTCTTCTTCCTTGACCATAAATTCTATCAGGATAGCATCTGCCTTTTATTCACCTTTGTATGCCTCAAAGTACTTAGTAGAGTGACCTGGACTTCACAAGTGCTCAAGTGATTGCTACTGAATGAATGAACAAGAAAGGGAGTCTGGGAACCATACGGTTTGGTTTTAATGGCAGGGAGAAGTGTGGACTGGGGAGCCTCTGCCCCTGGGCACTGGGCAAGGCCTGCAGAAGGATGGCCGAGTGCCCTGTCCTTGCCCTCCTCAGAACCCCTCTTATAGCACACTGATCATACACATAGTGAGGCTGTGACTCTGGTAGCTAAAAGTTCTGCTCAGAGAAATGAAACCCGGGGGAGCCTCAGGTCTGGGACAACCTTGTTCTCCAAGCCTAAAAACTATCCATGTGCACAATTATTGCAGGTTTCGTTCAGCTTAAGCCATGCCAGCAAGGGCTTCTCACATCCTAACACAGAGGTTGGCCTTCCAGCCTCCTGGACTCCATCATGGCTGGCAGGAGCAGGCCTCCCTCAGCATCCACTCTTCCTGGGAACTGCAAGATGAGGCAGGCTACAGATTTCTAAAGAACTCAAAGTGAGGCAGAGAGGGCATGTCTGCAAGTAGGAGTTAGGAGGTAGAGGGAGAGAGTGGGCAGAGCCACAATCTCCACCCACTGGCCCCTACTCAGCCCCATTGCCACCTCCTGGTTCCTTCACAAAGGGCAGTTTGGGGATAGAGCAGAGACACCACCACCCAAGAAGCTACCTCTCCAACTCTGTTAGTATTATTTTGCTATTACCTTAAATGGACAAGATTCCAGTGAGCAGTTAACACAAGAATGCAAAGCCCCCCTCCTCTCTCCAGAGAGAAGTGACCCACAGTCTCCCCTTCTGTGAATAACAAGAATCCATCACTCAGTGTAGCCAGTACTTTTTAGTTCACAGAGTACTTTCACATCCATCATCTCCTTTGGGCCTCTTAATGGCTCTGCAAGTTCTGTTAGATGGGAATCACTTTCCTCTGTCTACAAAAGAGAAAACCCATGTTCTGAGAGGTTGAACAACTTGGATGAGGTCAAACAGTGTCCAGGTACAGTCTTTATCCCTCCCTACGAAAGTTCCCTGGGCTCAGTTCCCTGTGGAAGCTGGGCCATCCATCTTTCATGGAAAGATGGAAGCCCTCACAGTGGGACACATCTGTCTGCCAACAGCAGTCCTTTGGAGGTCCCTCCAGGGAGATGCTGATCTGCCTCAGGCACACAAATGAGTAGAGGGTCTGAGTGTGGCCACTTACTAATCAAGAAACTTTGATCTTTTCCTTTGGCCCCCAGCACATGGCTGCCCAGAGAGTATGTCTCCAAATAAGAACGTCAAAACAGATGTTTCCAAACACAAGAGAAATCTGAAATGAGAGGCTCCTAGCATGGCAAGAGACCTAGACAGCTGTGGGAAGAGCACCTGATTGTGAGACTGAAGTGCCAGTGCCCCGGGGGGCACTGTGCGGAGCATCCAAATGGTGCTGAGGCTCCTAGTCCACGTTCCATGTTTGGGCCTAGAGAAGGAAGCGGGCTCTGTTCACTTCTGTCTAGCAGCCAAGAGCAAAAGATTCCACACAGCCACATTTTCTGGGGGAAAGGGAATAAAGACTGATAGAGAACAATATGGGTGCAAGCACTTCCCCCGCACACAATGAACCCAAGAACATAAGCACTGCCCACTGGGTCAGTCCAGGGGGGACCCATTCAGCCCAGAACTTGACTCAAGATTGGCTTCAACCCATCCAGCTGGGCTCCTGGGTGCTCCCCAGCCCACCACCGCTCATTTCCCCAACTCCCACAGAGTCTCATAAGCCTTACTTTCAATGCAGCCCCTCTAGAAGTTGAATAAAATGTTCCGAGAGACTGCCAGAGTAGCCATTTAGCTGCAGTGCAATTAGAAAGGACAGGATATTGGCCAGGACAGAGCCTTATTAGAAGGTTTCTGTTGTCGCTTTGTCTTAAACAATGCTTCCACAGTGGCCCCTTTTTTCACCATGGTCAAAGCAAGCACCGCCATTCCCATTTGGCATGGTTCCTCCAGCCCACCCAGCTAGCTGCAGAGACATGTTCTCCAGGGACAGGCTACGTCTGCAGGCCAGCAGCACCCATCCACTGCAGAGGGCAGGCGCCCGTCTGGATCCTCGGTGGATACTCAGTGTCATCTCAGAGACGTGCTTCTCTCCCTTCGACGCTCCTTCTCCTACCCTTGGCACCGTTCTTTCCCCCTCTCTCCACCCGCCCCAACAGGAAAACACTGTGTTCCTGATCAGATAAAGCCGGCACAAGTGCACAGAGCAGAAGGCAAGCAGCACTGAGGGAGGAGAGAATCCATCACATCCCAAATCTTTCCCACTCCTCTCCCAGGACAAAAATGACCACTGTTCCCTCAGGAGACTGGCCGGCCCCACGAACACAGGGAGCTATCTGACAAGTGAAGGTCACACAAGAGGTCACACAGTTTCAGGTGTCTGCAAACCAGAGAGAAGACTGTCCACAGACATAGCACTCTTCCCCCACCCCACCAGCGGAAATGGGCTCCCCCAGGCTGCCATTTTGCCCTGCAAGCTGCACTTCAATTGCAACATGAACCAAACCCTCCAGCAGACACCATCCTCAGCCACCTCCCACAGCACTTCTGTCCCCTCAGAGATTAGCACCAAGTGCCAAAGGGAAACTAGTGACAACACATTCTCAGAGATACCACCCAGGGGATGGGATGGACACCTGCCATTCTCTCCTATGACATCATAGTGTCCCCAGGTGAATAAGCTCCTTAGGTCCTCACCTGAGGACAGTACCTAAAACAATATCACTTAGACACTGAAATTCAAGTCCACCTCTCCCTGGAGGCCTTTCCCAGCTAACCTCACACATTCTCTATCACAAAGGTTCTCAAAGTTTAATGGGCAGCACAATCACCTTAGAGGGTTGGTTATCCATGCAGATAACCAGGCCTCACTCTCAGAGGTCTGCATTTTTAACAAGCTCCCCAGATGATTTTGAGATGGTGATCTCCCTGCCTCTGTCGCTGCTCTCCTCTTACCCTCAGCACTGACTTCATTTAACTATTTCGGTTGAATTCTAGAGCCTACCCCACCCGCATACACACCAGGAGTCCAATAGGGAAGGGCACTACCAGGTGGTCATGTTCTGAGTAGGGAACGGGAGGTCAGGAGAGTGAGGTAGGGGGGTGGAGGATTAGATGGGGCTCTTGTGGAAAGCAGAGGTGGGCCTGAGACACTGCCCAGCAAGAGACAGAAACAAGCCTCCTCTGTGCAAAGACTCCAGAAAGCGTCCACTCTACCCCTGTCCCACCACACGTCCGGACAATGGCTTTAAATGTCACATCAAATATCAGGCCAGCCAGCAGGAGGGAAAGGTGGAATCTAATTAGCCTGTGTGCTCAGGCTTTCCTGTGGCTTTTGTGTTGCCCACCTTGGACCTCTGCTGAGATCGTTAACTCTCCCTTGGCAGGGGGAGGCTTCACAGGACCTTCTAGTTCACTGGCTGTAAACCACATGTAAAACTAGTAATCTCAGGACTACTAGTCCCCCCAGCCCTCTCTGAGGATTACTAGTTCCCCCAACAGTCACTAGAACCCCCAAATTGCACTGAATTTCCAACCACATAGGACCCACCACCCTAACACTCCCACCCAAGAGCCAGACCCCTCTCCTCCTTCTCCGCCTTATAAAGCTCACCCATTCTGGGCCCCTGTTCCCTCTAGACTCAGCCCCAGGCAAAGCAGCAAGATCACCTCCACTCTTCTAAGGGCTTACTATCTAGGCCTTCGGGAAATATTTACATTTTAGCAAAAGGTAAAGCCCTAAATGAGTGGAAGGTAAATGGAAGTCCAAGCCTTGGGGAGGCAGTAGTGGGAATAGATATTTAGGGTCAAGGAGCAGAATCCACGACTCTCTCTCTTCATACCCAGTTCTTCACAGGCACGTCCCTAGCAGGCCATCCCTGTGAT